CCCCCTCCCAGCCCTGCACCGTCCCCCACTGTGCCCCCACTGTGTCCCCACCAGCTGCCTGTCACAGCCTGGCCCGGATCCCATGCACCCCATTGTTCCCCTGAGGCCTGGGTGGAGGGAGGGGCGCAGGCCACGGTGCAGAGGCCTGGGGGCCGGCATATTCCAGACTCCCTGTGTGTCATTGCACGCCCAGCCTTTGACAAAAAGGGAAACTGAGGCCGAGCAGCCAGGTGTTCCATGGTGGCTGAGGCGGGGCCTCTCTGGGCGTGAGGATGACCTTTGTGCAGGGCGGGCCGGCGGCCGTGCTTGCCTGAGTGTGTGTGCCCAGGTCTGCCACGGGGCCGGAGCCGCAGCCCTCGCGGGCCGAGCCATCCCGGTCTGCTCCGTCCCCGTCCTGGCCCCACCATGGAGGTGGACGCCCCGCTGGCCGGCAGGATTGGGGCACTGTCGCTCGCTGCCATCCCCGTAGCCTACCTGCTCAGCTGCGTCTCCGAGATCTCACAGTGCGTGTGGGGCGGGGGAGGGGAGGCCGGGCAGGGACAGGGCCACCAGCCCCACGGGAGCCCCATCTCCTCCAACCAGAAGTCCCCCTGCTATGGGGGTGGGGAGGGGGTTGTGGGTGGAAGGCTGGGGACCAGGACAGGATGTCCACACCCCACACCAGGCAGGGAGTTGGGGTACCATCAGGGATGAACCCTGCTGGCCTGGGTTCCAAAGTCACCAGGAGGTCAAAGTATTACCCCAGATAAGGCCTGCTGACCCAGCCCTGCTGTTCCCACACGCCCTGCTTCAGGCCTGGGGTTTCTTTTTTGCACTGTCCCCAGACTCGGTTTCCATACCCTGGCTTCGATCTCCACATCCCAGCCGGGTGAATCCACGAAGTGCCCCATGCTGGGGTCACCAGGCCCTTCTGGAAAGATTTTGTTGTTGTTTTCTTCATACCAATCTTGGAGCTTGAACTCAGAGCCTGGGTGCTGCCCCTTAGCTTTTTTGCTTAAGACTGGTACTCTACCTTTTAAGCCACAGCTCCACTTCAGCTTTTTGGTGGTCACTTGGAGATAAGAGTCTCTCACAGACTCTCCTGCCAGCGCTGGCTTTAAACTGAGCCTCAGCTCCCAGCCTCCTGAGCAGCCGGAACCACCGGCAGCCCCAGCACCCCACTTGCCTCTGAGACTTTACTATGTTGAGTAGTTTGCACACCATCTTGACATATGAATATACTGATGCATAGAAAGGCCCAAACTGAACCCCAAGAGACAGACAAGTTCCTGAGTAGACAGGCTTAGAGAGTAGGGAGTTGATTGACAGAGTTGCTGGTGACCCTGGGCAAGCCTTTTACCCGATCTGGGCCAGGTCTACACACCATGTTGGGGGTCACCCAGAGATCTGGCTTCGTTATCTGCATCTCTGGCTGACCTGTCTTACGGGGTCGTGGTAGATGGATAGGGACAGGGTAGCATGGATGAAAGACATGCGGACTTTAGCTGGGGAAGGCTGGGAGGCCCCAACAAAGGTGTGCAGAGTTGACTAGAACTTCTGCCAGAGTCTGGCCACAGAGGGACGCGGAGAGAAAAGGGGACAGAGGGAGGGAAGAGTGTGGGAGGAGCCCCCTCCTGGAAGGGGCTCTGAGTAGGAGCCAACTGATAGGAAAGTCTTGCGGTGTTAATGATGAGCTTCAGCCTAGTTAGCTGGCACTTTCTGGAATCTCCTCTTTCCCTGTGTGGGAGTGGGGCCTAGCCTTGGGCCTGGCCCCCTGACTTGGTTTCCCTCCCCTCAGCCCCGCATGGGTGGCACTGATGAGCGCCTTGGTCCTGGGGCTGCTCTTCCTGGCCATCTACAACCTGGCCGGTGGGGAGGTGGCCCGGGACCCCCTCTACGCCGGTGAGTCACCCGGAGGTGGGGGAGGGCTGATCTCGGGGCCAACCTCCACCCTCAGACTTGGGGTCTTGTGGATGGTTCTCATGAGATTGGGGACCCCCAGGTGTAGAACACCCCCATTCGATTGGGGGACCCCCAAGAGCCTCCTCTTAAGACCAGGAGCCCCTGGAAGACCTCCTCTCTATCAGCTAGGTCCTCCAAGGAACAGGGCAATATCATGGCTCTGCCAGGAGAATGGGGAGTTATCCCACCCCCAAAAAAAGGCCTGCAGGGACTCGGCCTCCACTGTCTCTTCCATCACTCATGCTGAATGAGACCAGGGTCCCAGAACAGGGCGGAGCCTGGGCCCCGCCCATCCCCAAGGCCCCGCCCACAGTGGCCTGCCCAACAAGACCACACCCCCTCCAGAAGCCCTACCCAAAGACTAGTCCGATCCATGGGCCACCTGTCTGGCCACGCCCACCCACAAAGCCCTGCCCCACCCCACCCCGCCCACTCCAGCTTGCCCAGTATATGGTCCGTCCACAAGACCACACCCCCTCCAGAAGCCCCACCTAGACACAGACTATAGTCCAATCCACGCCCCACCTGTCTGGCCACACCCATCCATAGCTCCGCCTACATGCCCCGCCCACTTCCCCTCAGTGTGTGCCCTGTTGGCCTTCACCTCGGTGGTGGACCTGGTCATCGCGCTGCAGGAGGACGGCTACGTGGTGGGCTTCCTGGAGTTCTACACCAAGGAGGTGCGTGGAGGGCCAGCCGGGGCTCCTCTGCCCCGGCCCTGGCCTGAGCCTCGCCCCTGCCCCCCCAGGCCGAACCCTACCTGCGCACGGCCCACGGGATCTTCATCTGCTACTGGGATGGCACTGTCCACTACCTGCTCTACCTTGCTATGGCCGGGGCCATCCGCAGGAGGTACGGCACCCGGGACACGGGGGGCCTGGGGTCGTGGGGGCCCCACAGCCAGGGCTGGCCAGAGGGGAGCCCGGAGCTCTTACCAGGTGGGGCTGGCCATCCTGTGTCCCTGTCTAGGGGACTGGGGGATGGGGCTGGAGGGGGTGGCAGCCGGCCAAGCAGGGGTGAGCAAGCTCCAGGCCTGGGAACAGTTTTCAATGACAAAAACAGAGGGCCCAGGGCAGGCAGGGGGGGGCCAGGGGGGCCCACCCCCGCTGGACCCGCAGACCTGGTTGGGGCACAGGCTCCCCGGAGTCACCCTCCCTCCCCCTCCCAGGAAAGAGTTCCGGAACCTGGGGCTGTATTGGCTCGGATCCTTCACCATGAGCCTTCTGGTGTTCATCCCGGGCAACATCCTTGGTGAGGCCTGGGCTCTGGGGACCCACTGTGCCCCCGGGGGCCCTTCCCTGAGGTTCCCCCCCAGCAACTCCCATCCCCTCCCCCTTTCTCCCTCTGCTCCTTCAAGGCCTGGTGTCCTCTTGGAGGTGGAAGGCTCCACATGAGTGTCACCCCTGGCTGGGAGGGGGAACTTTCTTGCACAGAAAGGGAGGTCTAAGGGTGGAGGCTGAGGACCAAATAAACTGGGGTCCAGCCTTGGGGTCCAGGCAGCACGTGGAGACAGGGAGGCAGCGCTCGGCAGGGGAGACACCCCAGGGCTGTCAGAGGGTACACTGAGGCAGGCTGGGTCGAGCAGCATGGGTTCGGAGATAGATATCTGCAGGACTGTGCTCGTCAAGTTATTTAAAGCCAAGTGAATCCTCCTTCCCTCTGTGCGTGCTCGCCAGGTAAATACAGCTCGGAGATCAGACCGGCCTTCCTCCTGGCCTTCCTCTACATGCTCATCCCGTGCTGGGCCGGCATGAGGATCTTCAGCCAGCCCCGGGCACCAACCAGCTGTACCCCTAATATGGTGAGTGCCCGACTGTCACGCTGTCCTGCGTGCCATGATGCCAGCCCTCAGGAGGCTGAGGCGGAAGCGCGTCAGGTCCCAGGCCAGCTTGGGCTGCAGTGATAGTTGACTCAAAACACAAAAGAGCCCACACCGGTGGCTCACGCTTGTCATCCTTCCTACTCAGGAGGCTGAGATCTGAGGATTGCGGTTCAAAGCCAGCCCAGGCAGGAAAGACCGTGAGACTCCTATCTCCAATAAGCCACCAGAAAACTGGAAGTGGCGCTGTGGCTCAAGTGGTAGAGCGTTCGCCTTGAGCTGAAGAGCTGAGGGACAGCGCCCAGGCCCAGAGTTCAAGCCCCACGACCGACAAAAAAAACACAAAAACAAAACAAAAAAAAAGAAAACCAGAAGTGGTGCTGTGGCTCTAAGTGGTAGAGCATTTGAGTGAAAAAGCTCAGGGAGAGTCCCTAAGCCCTGAGTTTAAGTCCCATGACCAACACATAGATAGATAGATAGATAGATAGATAGATAGATAGATAGATAGATAGATAGATAGATAGATAGATAGATAGATAGATAGATAATTAGATAGTGGCTCAGGCCTGTAATCCTAGCTCCTCTGCAGGCTGAGACCTGAGGGCCGTAATTAGAAGCCAGCCTGGGCAGGAAAGTCCATCAGATTCTTATTTTTGGTTCATTGTGGGGCTTGAACTCTAGGCCTGGGCACTGTCCTGGAGCTCTTCTCAAGGTGAGCGCTCTACCATTTGAGCCACAGGGTCACTTCCAGTTTTCTGGTTGTTCACCAGAGACAAGATGCATGAGGCCGAGCGCTGGTGGCTCACACCTGTAATCCTAGCTAGAGACCGTGAGACTCCTATCTCCAATAAACCACCAGAAAACTGGAAGTGGCACATTAGCTCAAGTGGTAGAGCGCTCGCCTTGAGCTGAAGAGCTGAGGGACAGCGCCCAGGCCCAGAGTTCAAGCCCCACGACCGACAAAAAAAAAAAAAAAGATGCATGAGGTCCTGGGTTTGATTCCTTAGCACCACATGAACAGAGAAGGCTGGAAGTGGTGCTGTGACTCAAGTGGTAGAGCGCTGGCCTTGAGCTGAAGAGCTGAGGGACAGCGCCCAGGCCCAGAGTTCAAGCCCCACAAATGAAAAAAAAAAGTCTCACCATCTTTTCCTGGCTTTGAACCTCGATCCTCAGATCTCAGCCTCCTGAGTAGCTAGGATGACAGGCGTGAGCCGCCGGCACCTGGCCCATCAGACTCCTATCTCTAATAAGCTACTCAGAAAAAGCAGATGTGGAGCTGTGGCTTAAATGGTATGGTGCCAACCTGGAGTGAAAAACGCTAAGGGACAGCACCCTGGCCCTGAGTTCAAGCCCCAGTATTGCCTCTGCCCCCACCCCAATGAGGTTCTGTGTCCTCAAGACTCCCTGGTTGTCCTGAGGAAGGGAGGAGGGCTGTGGGGAGCACCCGCGGGCTTCAGGCCTCCGGCAGCTCTGATTCTCTCTCGGGAGCAGGTGCAGGAATGGCAGGCCAAGCGCCTCCTGCAGCGCCCCGCAGACCTGGCTCTCCTCCTGTACCTTGTCCTGGCTGCGGTCTTCACCCTCTTCCGGGGCCTGGTGAGTGCGCCAGCCCTGCCAGCGGCATGCGGGGCCGGCCATGGGGGAAGTTCTTGATCAAATCTGGCCTGAGTTTCGTGACCAGGCCCTACTTCCTGTCCTGTTTCCTCAGTTCCTGGCTGTGTGGATCCCAAGGCAAGGGAATAAGGCTGGGAGAGGCCCAGAGATGGCAAGCCCTACCTGGGGGGTCTGGGAGGCCTGAGGTAGGGGATTGACTGTTGTGTCTGCCCCAGGTGGCGCTAGACTGCAGCACGGACGCTTGCTTTGTCTACATCTACCAGTATGAGCCGTACCTGCGGGACCCCGTGGTCTACCCAAAGGTGCAGGTGAGAGGTGCCGTGGTGGAGGTTTGCGCCGGTGGCGCACGCCTGGCATCCCAGCCACTCAGGAGCTCTGAGAATCACAGTTCAAAGCCAGCCCGGGCAGGAAAGTCTGTGAGATGCTTATCTCCAATAAACCACTAGAAAACCGGAAGTGGAGCCGGGCACTGGTGGCTCATGCCTGTAATCCTAGCTACTCAGGAGGCTGAGATCTGAGGATCACAGTTCAAAGCCAGCCCGGGCAGGAGAGACCATGAGACTCTTATCTCCAATAAACCACTAGAAAACCGGAAGTGGCGCTGTGGCTCGAGTGGTAGAGCGCTTGCCTTGAGCTGAAGAGCTGAGGGACAGTGCCCAGGCCCAGAGTTCAAGCCCCACGACCAACCAAAAAAAAAAAAAATGATTTGGGCTTCAGGTATGGCCAGATCGAGGCGCTCAACCTACTGGTCTTTGCTCCACTTTCCTGGCATGGCTCCCTTCTGCAGGGCGGCAGAGGCAGCCCCAGGCTTCCGTCCACCCCCACTCAGTCTCTTCAGAAAAATAGGAGCCCAGCCCCTGTCTCAGGCTCATCCCTTGTCAATCACTCCGGTCTTGTGACTGGAGTGCGCTGACTGGCCAGCTCAGGGTCACAGGCCACTCCTGGAGAATGGTGGGTGGGCTCAATGTGTGTTAGGGAGGCTGGGACAAAGGAGGGGGGTCCCTCAGGGACCCTTGTGCAGGGCTGGGCTGTTCAGGGAGCCCCATCCCGGGTGAGGTCTGGGTCCCTCAGCTCTTCCAGGGTCCTCAGGAGGGCGCAAGGCCGAGCTGAGGTCACTGTTCCCTCCCAGATGCTGGTGTACCTGTTCTATTTCCTGCCCTTCTGCGGCCTGGCGGCCTACGCCCTGGTCGTCCCGGGCTGCGCCTGGCTGCCCGACTGGGCCTTGGTGTTTGCTGGAGCCGTTGGCCAGGTGAGGTTGGTGGGGAAACATGCATCCAAGAGGTCCAAGCCCAGACTTCCCTAGTCTGGGGCCAAATGCTGGCCCGGGACTGGAGGAGGGACAGGTTTCCTAGAAGCAGGACTGGGGCTTTCACGTGTGAGGATGAGCTCTCCTGGAATGGGCCAGCATAAGGAAAGGCCCTGGGGTCAGTGGTTTAGCGGGGCTGTGGCAGAAAGGCAGAGGCGAGAGCAGCTGGCGGCTGATGCTTGAACGGCACGGATGTGCTTAGGACTTCAGAGAGCCAGGAAAGGTTTCTTTTTTTTTTTTTTTGGTCAGTCATGGGCCTGAACTCTGGGCCTGGGCGCTGTCCCTCAGCTCTTCAGCTCAAGGCGAGCACTCGACCACTTGAGCTACAGCACCACTTCCGACTTTTTCTGCTTATGTGGTGCTGAGGAATTGAACCCAGGGCTTCATGCATGCAAGGCAAGCGCTCTACCACTGAGCCACCTTCCCAGCCCCCAGGAAAGATTTTTTAGGGGTTCGCAACTCAAGCCACAGCAGAGCTAGGAGCCTGTGTGTGGGTTACTGATGGGGAGAGCGAGCCTGGGCCCAGGCTGGGAGAGGGGGCCCAGGAAGGTGTCTGTGGGGGAAACACAGCCAGATTTATGCCAGCACCGCCAGGAGGAGGAGAAGGGTCAGAAACGAGAATATTAGGATTCAGGGACCAGCTGAGGACTGGGGATGGAGGTCCTTCGGCTCTGCCTGTTAAAAATGTCCCAGGGTGGTAAGCCAGACACTCCTGTAACCTCAGCTACTTGGAGGAGGTGGAAATTTGGAGGATTACTCTTTAAGACCAGCCCAAACAAACAGACAAAACCTTAAGACCCCATCTCAACCAAATAAGCCAGTAGTGAGGGTTCACTGCAGCAATCCCTGCTATGCAAGAGGCATAGATAAGTAGGAGGATTGCTGTCCCGGCTGGCCAGCCCCGCCCCACAGTAATTAGTGGCAGTCATAATATCTAAAGCAGAAAGGGCTGGGTGTGTGGCTCAGGTGGTGGAGCGCCGACACCCCCTCC